ACCGGCACTTGGCTGAGGCGTTCTTGTCCTGGCCCCATGCCGTCGATGGCGATGGAGACGGGGAGGGATGGAGGGATGGATGGATGCCTTACTTGACGGTTTGCAGGTGAGACTGCGATGCGAGATGCATGCCTGGCCGGCCAACCCGACAGAAGGCATCCATGCTACGGCACCGCTAAGCACAGGTTAGTAGGTAATAGTAGGCATCCTCAGACGGATATTCCTTTTTCTCGCCCTTTGCCAGAGCTGGGGCGGCGTGACAAGGGCGGATCGCGTCCAGTCCCAGCCATCCAACCCATCCATCCATGCAATGCAGTGGTGGCAGGCCCAAGCAGGCCGCTGGGAGGACGGACGCGAGGGAGGGCGCAGGTCGCTATCGCATCGTATCGGCTTGCGTGATGGGACTGGATGGGTGACTCAGGCGCTGGTTTGGCTCCCCCAAGCGCCATTGCTGCCTGCCACTGCCTTACTGGACCTTACCGAACGGCGAGCTGCATCTAGGTATCTGCCGTCGACCTACTTAAAACAAGTGCAAGACCTCCTCCAGCTGCACGTTCGCTCCTCCCCTTCCTTGCACTTCACTTTCTCGCCTGCTCCCCTCTCGCCGCCTCCCTCTTCTCCCATTCTCCCTCTCTCTCTTCACTCCCCCGTCTGCCTCACGTCCCCCGCCGCACCCGCACCTTTCTCCCACTCTAGCCCGGCCCGGATCTCCATCATCTGGGTTCCTGCCCGCGCCCTAAGCTACGCCGTGCACCACCGCCGCCGTTGCATGCAAGTATCCTCTACCGCCTGCCGGTTCCCACTCCGATTGCCGGTCTTAATGTGCATTTTGCATCCATCCAGCCCGTACTGCTAGACATTCATGGATTTCCAGTCCACAGACGCACACTTTTGCGTCAGTTGGCTTCTGGGCCTTCAATCCCAGCCAGCTTCAACCACAGACGGCCCGGAATGGGCAGCCCACTACCAGACCGACGATCCACACTTCAGAGTAAGCTACGTATTAGGCCTGCTTCCAGACCCACGCAACCCGTCCGTTTCCAAGCCAGCCATCTTCCGCTGTGCAGATTGGGCGCGGCAGTACGAGACCAATGATCCCAAATTCCGAGTAAGCTGGCTGCTCGGTCTGAGACCCGCGCTCCGCCGCACGAGAAGGAGAGGTCCCAGGTTACGGAAGAGTGTCGAGGGCGCTGACGGCAGTGCCGAGAGCCAGGAAGTGCTGCCTTCCGACGAGGAGAGCGCCGACGATGCTTCGGGTAAATTTGACATGTTCATCGGGGTGGCTATGATGTTTGGGGACGAGCCATACGAGGAGGAAAGCACCGAGGAGGAGGAGACCCAGGAAGAAGCTCCAGCACAGACGGACCAGGACCCCCCTGTGCTTGCTACGCCTGAGTTTCTCGAACTGTGCACCAAGATGGAGGATCTTCTTGCTGAAATAGAGTGAGTCTTCTATCCTCTCTTGATTTGGCCCCCCGCTAAAGCTGACAATTTCCAAAAGACAATCTTCGGCGGAGGATGACGACGACAATGAGTCTATTGACGGACTTTCGCCCGAGGAGCGTGAAGACGAATCATCATCTAGAATCGAGTGGTTACGTCAAAAGACTGTTGAAAAGGCAGAAAATAAGTATCTTGACAGGATCATGTCCTTGCCGGGGCTCGAAGATGTCAAGGCCATGTTCCTGCACGCCAAAGCCAAGATTCAGGCATCGACGAGAAGGGAAACCTGCCTGAAAAAAGAGAATTTCGATGTATGCTTCACCGGAGGCCAAGGTACGGGCAAATCGACATGTGCAACCCTCTACGCCAAGTTCCTCGTCTCCAGCGGTCTTTTCAAGCCTCCTGCTGGAAATACCGGTATCCACAAGGCATCATCGTATTACTTTGCGAAGACATCTACATTGGAGAGCATGCGCCAGATATCTGCTACATGTGGAGGTTGTGTAAGCAAGAAGAATACTCGCTTCAACTGTTTCGTTCTTGACCGGCTAACCGTTAACAGGTCGTGGTGCTTGATGATGCCCATTTAATCGATAAGGACGATTACAACCTGTGGAGTTTCTTCACCAGAGCGAAAGAGCTCCCGGGCACCATTGTCATCGTTCTGGCTGGCGATGCAGAGGCCGGGTTGACGGATCAGCTCACCCACCGCGCTGTTGTTGAGCATCATTTCCCTGTTTACAAGCTGCCGAACTATTCTGAGGATTTGCTCCGTTCCATTTTCCACGGCATGGTACGGAAGTGGTTCAACAAGAAGATGAAGCTCGCCGGAGAGGTCGATGATTTGTATGTCAAGATTCTCATCCGCAGAATTCTCCGTGGCACATCAGAAAAGAGCTTTGCAAACATCTGGCCCTTGAAGAAGGCCTTCATCGAGGCTTGTAAACGTCAGGTTGAACGATTTCACCACGCGAGGAGGGAAGGGCTGTACCTTGAGGATTATTTCCTGAACAAGGAGGATCTCTTGGGTAAGCCGCCATGCCTCAAACCTGAGAAGAGCCCGGCGTGGGAGGAGCTTCAGGGGTTGCTTGGACTGGAAAACGTCAAGCAGTCAATTCTCTCGGTGGTCCACCAAGTCAACCAAAACTACGAGCGGGAAATGAAGGGGCTGGAACCTCTCTTTGCCTCGGCGAATCGCGTCTTCTTGGGGAGCCCGGGCACGGGAAAAACTACCGTTGCAAAGCTCTACGGCAAAATTCTGGCCGATTTCGGCCTCCTTTCAAAAGGAGATGTTATCGTCAAAAACCCGAGTGATCTCATTGATCGATACATTGGCGGCTCAGAACAGAATACCAAGGAAGCACTTGCAGAGGCAAAGGGCAGCGTCCTGATCATTGATGATGCCCACATGTTGGATCCTGGAAAACGAAGCACTGGCTCTAAGAATGGCGATTTCCGTGGCGCTATCCTTGACACTCTGGTGGCAGAGGTAACAGGTGCTCCAGGGGAAGACAGGTGTGTTATTCTCTGCGGATACTCAGCGCATATGAAGGAAATGTATGCCAACTGCAACCCGGGGTTTGCGCGCCGCTTTCCTCTCGATACAGCATTTGTGTTTGAAGATTTTGATATAGACACGCTTGGGAAAATATTTGATTATAGACTTGAGAAAGAGAAGTTGGTGGCAACAGAAAAGGCGAGGCAGGTCGCCATGGACATGTTGAGCCGAGCATCAGTGCGTCCGAATTTCGGAAACGGAGGCGAAGTCGTCAACCTGATCTCCAAGGCTATTATGGCAAGAACGAAACGGATGGCCGACAATATGGATTTCGGGGATACCAAGGAGCAGGTGGTAGACACAAGCGACAAGAAGGCTAATGGGGAGCATAAAACGGTCGACCAAGACGAAAAGAGCAGCAATGCGGATGAGACCACCAAAACCGACCTGGAGGAGGCGCCTCTCCTGCCAGAGGATTTCGATCCTGACTGGGACCGGAATACTCGTGCCGTGGCAAACACCCGTGCCCTCTTTGAAGGGTTCATTGGATACGAGGAGATTATTTCAAAGTTTGAGTCATATCAGTATATGGCCCAAGGAATGCGTTTACGAGGCATTGACCCTCGCCCATATATCCCATTTACCTATGTTTTCAAGGGGCCACCGGGAACTGGCAAGACCAGCACCAGTCGTAAACTGGGCCAGATTTTCTACGACATGGGCTTGCTTGCTGCCCCCGATGTTGTTGAAGTATCTGCTTCGCAGCTTATCGGAGAATACTGCGGCCAGACAGCGCCTAAAACAGAGCGTCTCTTAGAATCTGCCCTTGGGAAAGTTCTATTTATCGATGAGGCATACCGCTTGGCCAGCAGTTCGGGCTACGCAGAGGAAGCCGTCAGTGAGCTTGTGGACGCGGTAACAAAGCCAAAGTATTCTCGGAAACTCATCATCGTCCTCGCTGGCTATGAAGAAGACATGGATCGGCTCATGCGTTTCAACCCGGGAATGAAGAGTCGTTTTGCTACCGAATTTACATTCAAGCCACTCCGAGCCGAGCAGTGTCTCGAACAACTTCGGGCAGTAGTTAGCAAAGTCGGAATCACTATTCAGAACACCAGGGAAATGGACTCGGCCACACGTGGTAACCTAATGGGCACGCTCTCCCGTTTGAACGGCGAAAAGGGCTGGGCCAGCGGCCGAAGTGTTGAGACATTGGGCGAGAAGCTCATTGCGCACATTTTCAAGGAATGCGCCATGAAGGGCTACACCGGGGATGAGTTAACAGTGACTGGCAAGGAACTCATTACTATCCTTTTCGGTTCAGTTATTGCCCGTCATGGTGCTGCCAGATTCAATTCAGGGCCCATGGGCGCAAGGCAGATCAGGACTCTCAAGGACTTGGAAGGATATGAGTAAAAGGTGCGGCTGTATACGGCCTCTACCTCCTTCGACCTATGAGTATATGGCAACCAGACCAAGATTATTTTTGAACCAGACTTCCTATTTCTCTTACATTGCATTTATTCAGCTTATTTGCTAGTTGGTTTTTGGGGGACAATGCATTAGGACACGAGCGGGCTGGTAGACCCAGCCAACATTTGCCTCCCTCCGCGTTTGCATCAATCGGAGTTTTTAGGAGAAGCCAGACTTCCCTTCTCCTGGTTGTGGTGTTAAAAGAGGTTGGATTTCATTAACAAGGGTGGTTATACTTATGAAATATGACGATACCATAGTTGGTCAATATGTGATTGTTCTCTTCTCTTTCCTTCTCATATGTATGTTGTTCTATAAGATAGCTTGAAATGAACGCCCCCATTTTATTCGCATCTGCCTTTCATATTTCCCATCCCAAGGCAAAGCTAAGCAGGTAACCCAATATACCCAAGTCTAGCATCTCGTTGTTTACCCAAGCATGCTTCCCTGCGCATTAGAACTAGCTGAATCTGGATCAAAACACCGGGTATGCCATGAACAAACCTGCCCAACTCCCATGCCATCTCTATATGTAAATAAAATCAAAGAATTACGTTGAAAAGCCAGCTTCAAAAACAAAGATTGATCAGACTTCCGAAGACCCGCCGCCCAAAACGATCTTGGTTACTTTTGAGGTGCGATCAACCATGATAGGGATCGGACTCAGTTTCCGTTTCTTTGTTACTTGGGAAACCCCACGTTCTGGGACAATGTAGTTGGCCTCAGAGGCCGAGGTCAACGGTGTTTCAGACCGGGAGTTTTCGCGGGACGTGCTCGAAAGAATACCACCCGTCGCCTCGGTGTCGATGTCAGTGTCAATTTCGGAGTTAACGATCACGATTGGCACCTCCCTAGCAGGATCAACGCCCGTACTGGCAGCATAAGCTTCTCGAAATGCGATACCCAGAGCAACAGCAACCTCTCTCGCGACGCTGTTGCCCACGATCCTATACTGCTCGGCGGGGGCTCCTAGCAGTACATCCTCGTCGCGGAACCCTTGCGCTCGGCGGGCTTCCATGAGAGTGAGGGCTCGGTTCTCGCGCCAGTGGAGCTGCCTCCCGCTCTTGCAATCACCTGGGCTCTGGCGCGTTACGACTGTCTCGATCAGACTGTCGGGTCTCTGACGCCCGAAAGCGTTTGATTTAGGTCCCACCCTCAAGACAGTTGCGTTCTTGTCGTCGGGAAAGAATGATTCTCGCTCGCTACGGGTCATGAGAGGATCTGGCCTGTACCACGTGGTCGCGAAGTTCATACCGAATGGTCTGGTTGGAATATGATACATTTGGAGCAGAATATTCCTTGTCTGCCCAATGGATACTCGATGGTCAGGAAACGGAACACAGATATCAGGCTTCCCATCTTGTATCGAGGGGAGATCAGCCGTGGCTTCCGCAGCAGATGTGAATTTAAACGGGGTGGCTTCCAACCACTCTCTCTCTGCCATGGCCTCTCCATTTGGTAATTTCCCAAGTGAGAGATTTTTCGTATAGTCGGGATGAGAGTGAGTCTGCTGAGGCTTATCAGGCAACTTGAATCCCGGTGCAGCAAACGCTAGGAAGACGCGTGATCGACGCTGAGGTGAGCCGCAGGACGATGCATCAAGGAAATAGAACTGCGTTTGGTAACCAAGACCAACCACAGCACAAATCAATTGGCTGAAAACATCCTGGTCTCGATTTGCCTTCTTTTGAACGATCCCGGTGACATTCTCAAGGAGGCCATATTTTGGCCTGTATAAGTCAATTGAGGAAGCGAAGGCAGCCACTAATGACTGGTTCTTCCGCTGCGCAACTGTGGTCTTGTCGTTGGTTAGGGAAGAGAAGCCTGGACAAGGGCTTCCACCTGAGATGAAATCCACCTCCCCTGGAGCAGGAACCTTCTTAGAGAAGTGCCCTTCGAGAGCAAGCTTCTGCAGAATGTCAATGGAGCCTAGAAAGGGATGTACCTCTTCGGGCGCTTCCACATTGGCCATGTAGGTGTGAATTGCATTCGAAACGTAGTCGTTGGCCCAGAGCATTTTGATGCCGCCAGCTTCCTCCAAGCCTCGACCAAAGTTCCCGCCACCGCAAAAGAGATCCAGGCCGCGTAACTGAGGCAACTTCACTTCTGCAAACCCTTGACGTAATGACCCCGGGCACTCCGTTAGAGGCTCCAGTCTGGCAGATTCGAAAGACGATACCAATCTGTAGGTGAGTACAAATAAATTCCCCACGCCATTGCGGTCATAAGGGCGACTTATAGGTGTCCCGACCGGGAAAAAGCGAACGTGGCAAGGCCCCATGACTTGATTCTCTTGCACTGTGATGAGTTCATCCGAATAAACAAGCTCATTTTGGAGAACCGCTTGAGATTTTCTATCAACCTTGGAGCGACGTAGTAGTTTCCGCAGTGTGAGAGATCTTCGCAGTCGCCCTCGACTATTTACCGTTCCAGCCGAGAGAAGCTCACAAGGCTCTGATTGGTCGGACCCGTCGATGCGAACCAAGACTGTGTCACCCGGGCGGTAAGCAGGACTTTCCACGCGACCACGTACGTGTTCACAGACCAAGTGTTCCTCCTCCAAAGAGACCCATTTCCTGTCCTGGTGGATATATGCTAGTCTGCAGAAAAATTCCGAGCTTGTCGATGGGTTTCCGTGAAAATCTACCTCATGGACACCGAGGACTTCGTCTTCCGTAATCTTGAAATTTTCTTCGCAAGAACAATGATCAGAGAGGAAAAGCTCGTTTTTCCAGGGATATTTCATCAAACCACAGAGCGTATCCACGGAACGATAATACCAAGACACGTCGAAGCAGCGTTTCCCTTTTTTGACGCTGACTTGTTGTACTCGGGCAAACCATCGATCAACATCCGAGAAGTCTTTAGATGTTTCCCTCTGCCATTTTGACCCTGATTCTTCACTATCACGGTGCGTTGAAATCGTATCGCCTGGCCTGATGCTGCGGATTCGATCCTTGGTAGCAAGTAATGTAGCTGAATTTGAATAACTATCCTTGCTGCCATTGAATGAGAGCTCTTGAATGAGCTTATCCCGTAAGGCTTGCGTTTTGTCGCTAAACTGAACAGCGTCGAGCCGATCACCAAATGGTAAATGCTTAAAACAGTCAAATATGTACGGCGTAACGACTGTTCTTGAATGATCCAGAGGCGAGCATAAACTTTCTGGTATTTTTTCATAGCGCTGGAAACTTGAGTTATCCCAAGCCAAGTCCTTCCACAGTAGATGAACATATGTAGCTCTTTGATCCAGCACACCAATAGCTTCCTTGTAAAGAAAATGGATATTTGCGACGATAGATGTACGATAGTCTGTACTCGGGTGCATAGATAGCCATTTATTCAGTTCCTTTGCGTTTCCATGAGTTTTTCGAAGCCAGTTGTAAAAATCCACGCGGAAATGATGGATGGAAACGCGCTGTTTCAGTTCCCACATGGTGTCGAGATAGTCGACGAAATGTTTAGCCAAGTCGGCGACCCAGAGGAAAGGTCGGAAGAAACGCGAGTATTCGGACGCAGGTCTCCCTAAGCGATAAAACAAGTTGTTTTTGCCGCTGAGTGGTGTTTCCAGCCAGATAGAGTCGCGGACGGTATGTTGATGCGCTGGGTCACCATAGTTCTGGATGGGCATTGCTGTGATGGCAACATGCTTGACGAAAAAGGCTCTATCGCCGCATCTGAGAACGCCATCAAAGTAAAAACGGCCGCCACGGTCCTTAATGTCCAACTGGTGGAGCGATCTCATCTGCAAGCCATAATGAGCTGGCTCATTATAAACGGCAAAATCGTCCAGTTGGAGTTCCAGGTATTCGCCACCAGACCTGTCTTCCTCTCTAGCCAGAGGAAGAAGTTCTTGTATAACCTCGCTCTCCCGCTTGACAGGGAATCCTGGCTCAAAAGGCTCATAACACGACCGTGGGGTTAGTAAGGTCGATTGTGGTATCTCGACCTTGATGGTTGGCTTTGGCTGTGCTGATAAGGGGGGGCGCGGCTCGTGCTGTGGTGGAAAAGGCTTGGATGGATTGAGGTTTGGGTTTAGAAGTCCATCGCTTCCAAAGTCCGCAGAGTCTCGCGGGCAGGCCTCTTCAATTGGGCGGTGCTTCTGCTCAGTGGCAGGAACGACCAGAGCATCCCACAAAGGAAGGCTCGCCCCAAGGTGACTTCCCGCTCCATCTTCCAAATTATGGTCCAGATTGGCATCTTCCAGGAACGGGTTATCGAAGAATGCCTGGAGATCTGGGTCAAAAAAGGCATCTACAGAAACCTCCTCCATCGCATCAGTCGCCAACGAACTAGGCCAGGTTGACATAGAAAAAAGCAAAGCCCAGCGCCCCGTCCCCGAAAAAATCAAAGAAAAAAAGCGAGCCGGGGCGACGTGATTCACCAGGAAATAAAGATGATGCTCATCACACGGAATTCATTTAACCTTACATGCGAATGAAATAAAAAAAAAAAAAAAAAATAAAGAGCGAAAGAACAGGGGAAACAAAGGTTGATATTAGCGCGTGCTGTCCCACCAATCAGAAGCCGAGAATCTTCATTCCTTCTCACCTTGCGTTGACTTACACCTCACTTGCAACAAAAGAAAAATCATTATACGCATTAGTCAAGCCTTGGGTTTGCTTTTCTTCTTTTACTTTTATCCTTGATATTCAATTCCATTGCATATAGATAATATCATCCGCTTGCTGGGTTATGAAGAAAATACATATCTGGATGACCAAAATAACCTTACCAATACCCAATAGCAGCACCCACGCCAACTCCAGTTCATAATTCATGAGTCGTTATGTGAGAAGCAGACCAATCCATTTCGTCCAGCAGAAAAAACAAATGTTACCTCCTCCTCCGAAATCGGCTATTGTAGCCTGGTCCTCCCTTTGCTCCATTCTGCCGCAGCTTGAGGCGTTGAAAGTTGGCATGCGCCAGCTCGTTCACCTTTCTTGCCGCTCGCTTGACAACTCCCTTGGTTGACTCTTTACTTGTTTTAGGCTTGTTCTTCTTCTGCTTCTCCTTATGCCTGTCATCGCCTGACTCAGCTTCGGACTGTGGTTGGAAGTCGTCGTTGTCGCCCGAAGCCAACTGATCTTGTCCCTCCTCGCCTCCAGCATCCTCTACAGGTCTCTTCGTCCACACAGGTTTGATGTTGGCTTTCCTTGTTGTTCTCTTCTGTCCCTTCTTCTTGAAGATCTTTCTCGGGTTGCCGTCTCGATCCTTCTCATCCTCGACTGGGCTGTCATACAAGCCCTCGTCGTCGAACCCACCAAGTGGTAAGTGTTCTGCCGCTGCATCCTTGGCAAGAATACTCTGATTGGGGGCTGGTTTCTGGGGCTGAATTGGTCTGCCCAATTCTTCATCCTCAACGGCGCGCAAAGCATCCAAATCTTCGTCAAGCTCGTCCTCCTCAATCCTTCGAAGGCTGGCCACGATCTCGCTCAATCCCCTCCCAAGAGGCTTCCGAGGTAGCCTGAGTGGAGCTGGAGCGCCAAATATGTTGTTCTCATCCTCGTCCACGACGGGTAACGAGTGTCTTTTCAGGAACTGGGGGGTCTCGAATTGAAGCTTCGACACTGATGATGGGGTGACGGCCCCGACTGGATTGCCATTTCGCTTCTTCAGAGGCGTCATGAACGTATCCAGCATCTGACGCTTGCTTGCGGACATGGGCGAGCGGGTAAGTTCCGGTGAACTCACGCTCTCCATCACGGCTCTTTGTTTCCTAGGTGTTACTCCAACATCACCCCGAACCTCTGATCGAACACCCATCTCCGTCTTCGAAGGCGTCCCAATCTCCTTCTCAACTAGTAGATCAAATAGTCCGAGTACCCGGCCATCGCGTTGGGGTGTCGGCCCAAGAGATGTTACGCCGCTAGGACTGAACAACTTTCTCGATATCGAAGGGGTGGTGGCCAAATCATTGGGGTCCTGGATCCGGTTGTTGGAGGGTGTTTCGGCAAACTTTGCCTTTTTCAAGGGAGTTTCTGACGGTGGATGTTCGGTTCTGTGTTTCCTCGATCTGGTTTCGTCTTTGGGCGGCGGTACTGGCGCTTTGCCATCTAGAATATCTCGACATTTCTGATAGTGCCTGTATTTTTGGGCTACGAAGCGGAGGTGAGGTTAGAACAAGCGCCAGGCAAGAGCTTCGAGAATCCCTACCTATTTCTGCATTGCTCTTGATGTCGTCTCGGCCGGGCTTCTTCCCGCCGTGAGCTTTTGCCCAGTCGCTTTCCCACTTCTTTAAATCAAGGCGTAGCTTCGCGCACTTGGCTTCATACTCAGACTTGGTCTGAGAATCCATGGCTGAGGGTCATGTAAAATGATGAATTCCCAGATATGAAAGACTTAATCAGGATGACAGAGAAACGTTTTGGGGGGGATCTCATAATATGTATCCGATTATTTGTGCCCTGAGCTCCGAGGTTGAGAACGCGTCGAGATCCAATCTTTAATTGAATAGGCACGACGCGACACTAGACGCGAAATGAGACAACGGCCGGGACGCTGACAAGCCCCTGTAACCCGGCAAGCTTGCACTAAACCCGCCGTTCATTAGCGCCCAGATTGTGCCCCACTCCGGCGCTCCGAGTCACTGATCGCGGCTCATCTAATCTACATCATCTCGTTTGTCTCTTGGTAATGAGTGTTCGCGACCTTGCTCCAACAAAGGATAACCCGCCGTACGATGAGTGCAGGAGCTGATGAGGCTGACCGACAACAAAGACAACCTCAAGGCATTGTCACGATTAATGTACCTACAACAGACGATGACACCGCCACCTGTGTGATTTGCTGCGAACCAATCTCTGACCCCTCCGAGACCCAACCGTGCAAACATCGCCACTTCGACTACCTTTGCATTGCAACATGGCTCTTCAAAGATCCCAGGTGCCCTGTCTGCAGAGCACCTGTCTCTAGCCTTATCCGCGATTCCACCCAAGAAGTCCTCTCCAACTTTGGCGATGCGAAGCTTGCTCTCCGCGTGTCTCCGCCATCAACTCATCCCGTCTCAACCAACAGATGGGGCCGTCAACCAACATCCAACGCCTCCAGGCGCCCGCACGCCCGCTCGTCAGGTGCTTGGGGGCGCTCCCCTTTCCGCTCTCGAAACGACTTCGATCGTGCGCTCAGCCGCAGACAGGCTGTTTACGCACACGGCCGATTTTCAAAGCACGTCGGCTCCAACCGATTATCCCGATACCGCGAACTCACCCCCCGATTGTTCTGCGAAGACGAAGAACTGGTATCACGGGCAAGGATGTGGATCAGACGGGAGCTTCAGGTCTTCCCCTTCCTTAGGGCACAATCAACCGCTAGCCCGCAGGACCTCGACATGAGCGATCGTCTATCATCTGCGTCGTCTGCTGGTCAAAACCGACCGTCCGATCACCAAGAGGGAGAGGCCACACGGAGGCGCAGAGCCCAAAATGCCGAGTTCCTACTCGAGTACATCATTGCCATTCTGAAATCCGTGGATATGATGGGCAGTGCAGGAGAGGCTGAGAACATGATATCCGACTTTCTCGGTCGCGACAATACCCGCTTGTTTCTACATGAATTGCGCGCGTGGCTCAGAAGCCCATACACCAAGCTCGAGGACTGGGACAGGGCTGTCCAATACCCTGATGAGCGTCAAAGGATATCTGAGAGGCCCGAGAGCAGCGCTGGAAGGCGCCGGCATCCACGCGAAGAGGTTGACGTCAGAGAGCATAACCAGATGTGCCTGGAACGAGCCAGCCACCCTTCCTCTCGAAACTGGCGGAACCATGGTAGGAGAAGAAGGGGCAATTACCCATCAAGTTCGGACTTTGCGGCAAACCATACGTAAGGCCAACAAGGGGTTTCATTGCATTCGGTGAATTCTTGCTACATTTGGAAGTTTTGTTTTCATCATGGCTTGGCGTTGGCGTTGGACTACACCCTCACCCTTTTTTGGTGGTCTGATAGAGAGATACCCAGGATTTATTGTTAGCTCTGCTATTTTTTCACTCGTTGATTTCAGATCATACTTGGAATCTAACCGAGCCACCCACCGGTGGGATGAATTTTAAGGTTGTGTACCTTTTCTCGGCCGTGTGCTTATAAATCAACTTTATTCCATCCAGCGGACTTTCCGTGATCTGTAAGCTCATGGCCGACAGCCCCGCACCCCAGGCCGGAATTGAAGAGCTTCCGGAACTGAAGAGCTTGAAGAGCATGCAGCAATATATATATATACTCCCTGCATCGTAGATTAGACCGTATCAAAGTATTTCAATACCCAAGCCCCATTGGCTCGACCAATTGCTACAGTCTCCCCCAATTCACTCCCACGAAAGCTCTCGCCCCCCGCCCCCACACAGATCCAAGATCACATATAAAGATCACCAACATGGCCAAGATCAACGTCAAAGTCATCTCAGACTCGGTCTGCCCCTTCTGCTACCTGGGCAAGACCCGCCTCGACCGCGCCATCGCCCAGCACCAGGCCGCCTCGCCCGCCGACACCGTCTCCGTCTCCTGGCAGGCCTTCTACCTCAACCCCAACGCGCCCACCAAGTCGCTGCCCCTCAACGAGTACCTCGCCAGCCGCTTCGGGCCCGACCGCATCGGCCCCATGCACAGCCACATGAAGGCCCTGGGCGCCCAGGAGGGCATCGACTTCACCTTCAAGAGCCGCACCGGCAACACGCGTGACTCCCACCGCCTCGTCCAGTTCGGCAAGGCCAAGGACGCGGAGCACAAAGTCGTCGGGGAGATCATGAAGATGTACTTTGAGCAGGGCGGCGACATCACCTCGCACGCCGACCTGGTCGCGGCGGCGGAGCGTGCGGGGCTGGACGGCGCCGAGGCCAAGGCCTGGCTGGACGAGGGCAAGGGCGGCAAGGAGGTGGACGAGGAGGTGAGCAAGGCGTACGACATGGGCATTCACGGCGTGCCCAAGTTCATCGTCAACGGCAAGTACCAGATTGACGGCGCTCAGGACTTCTCTGTCTTTGCCGACACGCTGCGAAAGGCTGCAGCCCAATGAGGTTGATATCGCACTCGCTCTGCAGTGTCTTTCCCGGGACTCTGATGTTCTCGGTCCTTGTTCCAATAGAGTTTCGTAGCTGGAGGAATTTCTTCATTAATATAGCGTGTCGTTGGGGGAAACCCATACCATAAAACCTTGAATTTCAATCACATATGCTTCAAAGCCGACAGATCCTTCTCCATCGCCCGCAACCGTAACTGCAGCTCCCTCTTCTTCGCCTCCATCCCCCTCGCCTCCTCTTCCTCCCTCCTCAGATCCTCCACCGTCCATACGTCACCCTCCTCCTCCTCTTCCTTCTCCTCTTCATCCCCCTCATCCTCCATCCAATCCTTCTTATTCAAGCTCGCAAGCGCCTCCGCCTGCTCCGCCACCTTGGCCTCGTAGTACGCCGCCGTGTTCCTCCCATTCCTGTGCCTCACGCGCAGCGCCGCGATCCGCTCCCTCGCCCCGGGCAGCTCGTACACGCCGCACAGCTTCTCCGCGCCCTTGAGCAGCACGTCCACGTCCACGTCCCCCTTGCGGTCCGCCTCCCCCCTGCGGAGCGCATCGTGCATCTCCCCGCCCAGCACCGCCGCGACGGCCGTGTGCCGCCTCGGGTGGTGTGCCGCGCCGCGCGAGGTCGGCGGGCCGGTGGTGATCTCGCCGGACGCCACGTTGAAGACCGTCCTACGGCGCTTCTGCTGGTGCTCGATCTCCTGCTGGTCTGCCGGCTTGGTTGGGGGAGGGGGCGGGGGTGGGACGGAGAAGAGGGCGCGTTCGTGCGATTCGGTGTCGCGGATGAGAGATGTGATGTCGTGGTGGGATAGGAGGGCGTTGGTGAAGATCTTGGGCGGTGGGAAGCTAGCCATAGCTTGTCAGCCGATTTCTCGTCGGTCAAGAACCATGTTCTGGGATTACGCATACGGGAGAGAGTCGATCCCTTGGCATGAGAAGCCAATTTGGTCGAGGTGGGCGGATAGTAGGGACATTGTTTGGAAAGCGGAACGCGTTCGATGAAGGAGAGTGTAAGTGTGTCTCGGGAATAGCAAACAGGGAACGATATCCGTCTCCCCTGTGTCAGGTCGGATGAAAGATGACCTCAGGCACTTAATTATTCTGCGCGGAAACAGTGATTGATGATGATGGTGGAAATGACGGGACTTGCCCAATGGAGACATTCCCAAACAATGGTGCTCTTATCTCTGGATCTTATCGATACGCCTCTGCTGCCCCGCGATATGGCGGGGTCATCGGTCCGCCAGGTGGGTAAGAAGGTGCTACGGGCGGGCTGGACCGTATGCGCAACATTCTACAACGGGATCAGCATCGACATGATCAGTAGGTTCAGCCTAGGAGAATTCCCGAGGTTATTAATGATACACCGTTTGGCTTAATACCTGGGTATCTACACCTGAAATGTATAGTAGCCCAGTCGATTCAATCAAACGAACCCCGTTCGCTTACAACTCAACGATAATAGCTGTCTTATTGCCCGCCCGATCCTGCAATCTGATACGCTGACTCTTGCTTCAATGCCACTCGCCAAATCTGCATTCGCCTGGGGGCTGGAAAATCCCAGCTGGGTGGGGACAGAGTCAATCACGCGCTCAAATCAGGCAATCTTGCTGCTACGATAACGTGCTTCGTGTGTCATTGGACAGCTCAATCGCCCAGTCTATCTCGGTCTGTATCTGCAAATTCAAAGGCCAAATCCGCACCCATGCCATATGCTATACTATTTGCTCTGAATCCTCCCTCCTATGTCTTCATCACCCTGGCCTATGCCAGCAGCCGCAGCAAAGGTAGATGGTTTTGTGTTGGGCGTCCGCATGTCCAAGAAAAAAAAAGTCTATGTGAGGTATCAGGATGAAGGAAAATCGAGACAAATAGAGGAAATAATAAAAAATAAAAATGAACAGAGACTCCAAGGAGAGAAGGAAAATTGGTTGATGAAACAAGACCAAAGGGTTACCCAGAGAGTGCCGTGAGAAGATCGAAAATGCACCGAAAAAAGTCCCATTGAGAGTGATCCTCCGTCTAAACATGCATAAAAAATCCCGCCCTCTCCCTATCATCCTCGACAATATCATATCATATTCCGACCCGGCCTTGGCCTGCCTGTCTGTCCACGTCTATCCGTAGGCGGGGACGAATTAGCCAAGAATCTGCTAAATTTTTGGTTTCGCGTGACTGTGTATGGAACTACAATGCCTAGGCCCATGCATTGTTGAACAATTCAAAATCATGGGAGAGATTCGCCATCGTCATGAAGTCGTTTCTCATTGCCATCGTATCATTATTCAAGAAAACGTATCATCGTCATCGTCATCTGTTGAGAACATCAACTAGACTCGACCTCCATCACCTCCACGGTGAAGTACGGGAGCTCCCGAGCGAGATCCTCGTGGGGCTCATCCTCGCTGGAGTCCGGTTCCTCAAGCTCCTCGATCTGCTCCGGCGGATCATGGAATAGCAGACTACTCCTGTGCAATCGCTTCCGCATCCTCTTGGCGCTTGACCCTACATCATTGACATCCAGGAATCCAAAGTCATCGTCCGAGTCGCTCAGCTCACTGTGCGTTCGCTTCCCAACACTGCTAGACATGCTAACCCTCCTTCTGCGTCTAAGTTCTCGCTGGTGCCGCATAAACGCATCCTCCTCACCGTCAAGCTCGATGTCATTGTCAGAGGTGGATGCGCTGCAGTTGAGGTTTCTGAACTCGCGCACCATGTTCTTGTCCAGTTCTTTATGCCACGAACTAGAGCGACTTCTTGGTGGCTCGATTTCATAAGGGTAGAGAACCTCGAGCGCATCCCACTCATCGTCCATCGGATCGATCTCTTCCAGGGTGAATTCAAAGACGGCAGTGGTAACTGTTACTTGGGCATGGGATTGCTGCTCGGAATTGGCTCCGCCCTGGTCCTCATCGATGTCATCATCATCATCGTCAACATCATTGGCCGCGCTGCCACCAGGCTCATCGGAATCCGAGGACTCCACCACCTTGGGGCTAGACTCATTATCATCAAAGCCCTTGATGATCGAGGCATTGGGCGCGCTCACAACGCTCACCCTCGCGGACGAATCATCGTCAGAGGAGGAAGAATCGTCCACGGCGGAGGAGGTATCGCCATGCGAGGAAGACGAGCGAGGACTCAGCTGGTCGGGGCCAAAAGTGGGCTGATAGCTAAACTGGTGGCCATTGCCTACGGGCTTGATATGGGGGTCATCAACCAGCTCATCGTTGAACTCAGTGAACGGGGGCTGGTGCCGAGGCTTGGAGCTGATCTTGCGAGACAAGCTCGGGGATGTGGTTGGAGTCTCGGGCGGTGACGCTGGGTCAGCGGTGAAGAAGCGGCGGTGGTGAGGGTGCTGGGTGAGGTCGCTGAGGTTGGGGGTGGACGGGCGCCGCCGCAGCCGCCTATTTTTCGGCATAGTGCGAGAGCGACCTGGGTGCAGCGCAGGGACGGGCGGGTGCAGCTGTGTTTCCAGGCGTCAATGGACGGTCCCAGAGGACGGAGGCTTGTAGACGAGAGTCCCGAGAGCCCCAGACGGCACAAATCGCAACTGGGTTGCTGCGTGTGCTCCCCGAGGAGGCAGTGGCACCAAGAGTCCGTCTGTGGTCTGGGGGGTGGTGCAGGCGGTATGTCGGTAGTAGGTATGTGTGTAGCACAGTGGCAGTGGCAGCAGAGGAGAGAAAAAAAGACCGGATCGCTGATCTGTAATCACCGCCGCACGCAATTGCAACCGCAGTGCCTCGTGTGGGGTAAAACGGACGGCGAGGCAAAGGAAAGCCAAGGAAGGGGAGAGAGAGAGAGAAAAAGTTCGGACGCGGGGGTGGTGGAAGAGTCGGCTTGCGTACCGTTTGCGCAAGTGGATGTAATGTATGTGTGTAGGTAGGTATGCAGCATGTATGTAAGGTAGGTATGTAGGTCTGGATAGTATGTATGTAATTTATGTATGTAGGTGTTTGTTTAAGGCAAGCGCCAGCGGAGCATCACAGGTCGCAATGCAGCTCAAGGTGGGCGTGAAAATGTCGGGACGGAGCCAATGTCGACGAGTGAGGCGGCGTCGCGGGATGCCCTCGGCGGGGGGGATGGATGCCAGCGCCGTCCAGAGCACCACTCCAGACAGGGGAGGCAGTGGAGGGTTGGGTTGAGGACCGGCCAGAGATGGGCACGATGGGATCGAGAAGGGGAGAGGGACGTACGAGCCGGTCTCAGGGATCGAGGCCCAGGTGCAGGGCCCCGAGGAAGAATCTCCAGGAAAGGGAAGATGATGTTATACTGCAGTTACTGGCGGCGATCATGATATGAAAAGAAGCCCGTCGCTCTCTCCTTTGTCAATGCGGCTGACCTTGACCACACCACACCACACAAGCGAAGAAACGGAGACTCTGGGTGACTGGGGTGCAAGAGGGGCACTGCCAGGGTCTGTCTTTTCTAGATTTCTGCCAAAAGCTGCCCCTCGTCTGGTTCAAGCGGAAAGAGGAAACCAATTGTCTGTAGATGAGCCAAAAAAGAGCTCGTGGGACAGCAGCGGGGGAGGGGAGTGCCACCGGCTAGCTGGTTGATAGCAAAATAATGGCACCAGATATAGGTGGCGAGCTGATCGAGTCGTGACCCTTGCTTGCTTGACCTGTCAAGCGCTTGAACCGTAGGCTTTACAAGGAGATGCCTGTCAGGTCTGACCTACAGCCGTGAGACGAGCGTTATGCAGATCAGGTGGGTGGGCGTGGAGAGGGTAAACCGCGCAGGACAGAAGACTGTCTCCGTCGTTTCAGAGCCCTCAAAGACCTAAATAGAAACGGAAATGTGGACGAAACCTTGAGCACCAGGTAATGGTGATGATGGACGAATAGCCCAGGTTTTATGATCAAGCTAGGAGTCGCCAATGGCCTGTGCCCGCAATGCCTACCTGAGTAATAATAGGCAAATATCAAATGCGTGATACTACTGGGAAGATACTAGCACGTCCGGTACTAGTAATAAGCAAGACTACTGCCGCTCATAAGATAACAATGGGAGGTCAGAAGGATAGGTAGGGATAGGCCACAGAGGTAGGAGGAGCTATGCCGGGAGAACTAATTTAGTAGGCAGTAGGAAGATGAGGCAGACGGCCAAATGATCAGCAGCAACTCAAAAGCTAGCCGATGACCCTATTCAGCTATCAGCAAATACCATGCAATGAACAGCACGGAGGGTCGGCAATGGAGTTGAACTGGACTAGAGAAACCGGTGGAAAGAAAAAAGGAAGAAAGAAAATTTTGCCTTGAAATTTCTTTATGAACCTGCATGGCAGGTCTGCTACCCAATTAATTCGGTGTGCCCTGAAGACAGGAGTGGACAGCAACCGCTGGCCGTAATTAACCCTAGGCGTTTTATGCCTGCTGCTATTTGTGTATGAATCCAAACAATCGGGGTCTTTATGCAGAGGTCTCGTCTGAGAACTACCCAAACCTGATGAGCCGGCTCTTCAGGCGCTATTGGCACTCTGCTAAGCTCCTTGTTCTCGGTGATGGTGGGCCACGCCAACGCACGCAGACTCAACTGCCATTGTGCCCAGCCAAGAGCATCATTACCACCTTTAGGCACCAATTGGTCGGTAGTGGAAACGAGTACATTACTGCTAGTCCTGCATGCTTCTGCCAGTCCATGTCCAACTTACTTCGGTACCTTCTTTTTCCTTTCTTTTTTCTCTTCCTTCAAGCCATCCGATCAGATGGTGAGGCGGCCGGCGCGAGCAGAGCCAGCTGAGAATTGCCCAACACCACCGCATTCCCAATATTGTCAGCTCCCAAGTGTGACGAGATGCAATGGTTGATCTCGGGATGCAAATGAGCTGTCAACACACCCAACAGCAGCTCATCATCGATTCGCCAACGCACCCCACCAACAACATCAAGGTTGCACACCCAACCTGAAGCGACGCCTACCTGTCGGCCTGCCTGTGTCGTTGAGGTATATGTGAATGACATGAGGGGATGGCGTCAGCTTAGGTCGTCCGGCCGCAGATAAAGCGATAAATGACGAATGTCCCATTCCTTCGGCCCGCGGACCAGCCATTCATGCAATTGCAAATACTCGTCCGGTCGGAGAGTGCATCCGTGTTGGATGGCGTATGGCAATGCATAATCATGTGCCAACCGACAGCCCCTATCTCACCGGAATCCGCGCACCATATTACCGACCTGGTCACAATGTGTCGCACCAGCAGCCATGTCCATGGTCCGGTTCTCTCGTGCTCGAGAAGAGTCGGAGTGTGGTCTATCCAAGTCCGTAGAAGGTGGATCTAGAGGTCGGCTCCGATGATTCAGAGCTGGGCCCTGGATATGTGATGTAGACCATGCATGCAGTCTCATCCCAATTGTGACCCTTGAGGAGCTTTTCAGCATATTTTGATATGACATCCTCGTTTCAGCTTCGTAAAATACAGGAAATTCCTCAAGTACACGATTTTAAGAACGTTTATCTACGTAGGTAGTCTAAGACGTTGCTCGTAGAGTCTGGCTCCCCATACAATGGCGGAGCGGCGCCTAATTTTTTCCGGAGTCTAGCGCGGACGTGCCGCAACCGAAGGACCTAAACGCGCCAGAGTCCGTGACTGCTGCCTACACCCCAAAGTATAAGAACCCACGACTTAGAAGATCCTCAACCTCAGCAGTACGGGCGGCATCGATACCCAGACGGCCGATCATACATCTTGCGATCAGTATTTCTGAAGACTCTGTCCTCCAGCCTCGGGGGCTGGACTGCATTGTTCTTACAACACTCGCCATACTGAGCCATCGCCGACGACGAACTGCGACCGGTTCACCCAGACGACTAACTCGAAGATGAATTCCGCCCCAGGTCAACAGAATGCCCAGGGCCAGCCTCAAGGCCAAGCTCAAGGCCAACCACAGCCCGGGACGGCAGCTCCCCAGCCTCAGGCAGTCGTCTATCAACCGTCGCAAATTCGCCAGCTCCCACACCTGAGTGAGGAAGAGAAGACCAAATATGTCGCCGGGCTTGAAACTCTCTGGGCCAAGGTTAAAAACTCTCCCCAGGGAAGTCCCGAATATAAACAAGCGACAGAGAAGATCTTCAATTTCTCCAAGATGTTGACGGGCAAGATTCAGCAACGTCGACAGCAGATTGGGCATCAGCAAAGGCTACAGCAACAGCAACAATTACAAGGTCAACAAGCCCAACAGGGCCAGCAGCAACCCGCGCAGGGGCAGGCCCAGGGTCAAGCTCAGCCAATACAGCAGCAGCAAGGACAACCGCAACAGCGCCCAGCAGTGCCGCAACAAGCTCTGCAAACTCAACCACAAACACAAGGTGTACAGGGCCAGGCAAACCTGGCACAAGCGCAGACAGCTGGACAGGTCGGCCAACCTCAAACCCCGGCGCAGAATGCCACGGTACAAAAGCCAGGTGCCTTCCCCAACGCGGGGATCCAGAACCAAGCAGCTCCCGGCACCCCGACTGTTGCGCAAGCGCAAAATCCGCAACCTCAAGGTCAGGCTCAGGCTCAAGCTCCCACCCCCAAGTTGCCGGAGAATATCGCCGCCCATCTCAGGCAGGTCAGCTTCAGACCTCCTGCCAATCTCCTTGGCAAGGGCTCCACAGCCGAAGCTACGAGGTGGATTCAAGAGCAGAAAACCAGATACGGTCGTGCTCTTCTTACCATGGAGAACACGAAGACGAGAGTTCGAGCTATTGAGAGGCAGGTCGCCCAAAGACAGGCATCTCAGAATCCCTTCACTGAAGATGAGATTAAGAAACTCAATGAGCAGAAGGCCAATCAGCTCAAGGTGTACAATGAAGCCACTAAGTGGGTGGAGCAGTTCAAGAAGGTACATATTGTGACTGACACGAGAGCCGGCACGCAAGCTCAGGCAGCACAGGGGGCACAAGGTCAGAAGCCGACTGACATAAACACGGCCCAAAACGTGACACAGTCAGTAAATGCGGCTGTTGAGGCTGCCAAGAACCAGCAGCAGCTGGCGGGTGTGGCCAACCGTCAATCCCCAGCCAGCACACCAACTACAAATGCGCAGGCACAACCGAACCGTCCGGCCCAAAACCCTCCTCAGGCAACACAACAACAAACTCAACAACAGCCACAACCACCACAACCACCGCAAGCTCACCCGCAACCCCAAGCCCAAGTCCAAGTGAAGACGGAGCCGGTTCAACCTCCCCCAGTCAACACAGTCATGGCCGCTCAGCAGACACAAGCCCAGGGAGCTCAGCGCGTACAAACGCCCCAGTCAGCGACTCCGGTTCCTCCTCCTGGGCCAACACGAGCTTTGAGCCACTCTGCCGCCATGAATCTTGCCAACCAAAGAGCTGTCTCTGGCAATATCCCAACACATGGTCAGCAACAACAGCAAGTCCAACAGGGCCAGCCGCCGCAGCAAGTTGGCACACCTACGTCCACAAACGGGGCCATGAACCAGAACATGGCTGCACAGCAGCAGCAGCAACAAACTGCGCCGCAGCATCAGCAAGGTCACCCTCACGCACACCCGACAACCCAACAAGCCACGATCCAGTCCAAGATGCCCATTCCCAAGCAGTTGCCGGAGAAGGCAACTGCCGTTCCACATGGCGTTGCGATTGGGGGAGGTGTTAAGGCAGGCCGTCCTACAATGTCACAAGGCAGTGGTACTCTGGGGGGAGTTATGAACCAACCAGCGATGAACAGAGTCCCCGCATACAATAATGAGGCTGAGGGTGATCACGTTCTCAGCAAGAAGAAACTGGACGAACTCGTTCGTCAGGTGTGCGGAGGTTCATCAGAAGGGCAGGAAGGCAACCTCCTAACACCAGATGTTGAAGAAGTAAGTCGTACAAAACCGCACACTAATCTCGTCGACCGAGGCAAGAGCATGCTAACTGTGTCCAGAATGTTTTGAACATGGCCGATTCGTTTGTAGATAATGTTCTACACGCTGCTTGCCGAAATGCCAAGGAGCGTGGTTCCAAAGTCCTGGAAATCCGCGACATTCAGCTTGTTCTCGAAAGAACCTACAATATCCGCGTTCCAGGCTACTCTTCAGACGAGTTGCGAACGGTTCGCAAAGTCCAACCTTCTCCTGGATGGATTGCCAAAATGAGTGCGGTTCAGGCTGCCAAGGTTATGCCCGGGAAGGGCGAATAGACACTTTTTCCTGTTATTTCTTCATCTTTTCTTTCTTTCTACGACTGAAAGCCTTGTTGCTTCTAGATTTCCGGTTTGATTGGTTAATTCAGGCGTTGGGAGGGTGACAATAATAGGCTGGCGGTCAATGCTATGCTAGGATTTCTTTCTGGTGTTTGTAGTTTGTCAAGGATAGGAACGACAGAATGACTCAAATGGTTTTAAAAAAAATCTCAAATTCCCCAAGCTCAACCCTTGACTGTTTGTTTATTGCGTGCAGCTGTGATTCTTCAGCGCTGAGCATAATCTAGGAGGTAGTGAGATAGTGCATATTAATCCCATGTGACAGGCTCAGCCTGGTGGTGCACATGTCAGATGGCATCCATTCCTCACCAATACCCTCTCTGCCTGCGACACAGCCCTCATTCCGAAAGCCAATTCGCCGCTAGTCTGGATACTTACCCAGATCAGCGATCTACACAGGTTGCTTGTTTGCTCGTGTGAGGTGAGGGAATATCAAGAGGGGAAAATGCACAAAATGGAGAGGAAGAAATAGAAGGGACAATGACAAGCCACATATTGTGCTGCGTGTCGCGTAGACCAAGATCAGTCTGTTCGCGAGCAGTCCACCCTTGCAGGTGGTCACTTCCAGCAAAAAGGTAAGGTAATTGCAGGCAGGCAGGTGAGCTGGCAGGCATCAGCTCGACAACGTCACTTACGCTCGGGCCAGCGCACGGTGCCAACGTACCCCAACGGCAGTAGCACCGGTGCCCCAAGGGACACTTGGTAGTGCCTCTGGTATAGGGTACATTTGTCTCCACGCAACTCCCCCTAGATCGGCAGGTACCCTGCACATGCTCCTACCTTGTCGTCTAGCGAGCTGTAGGCGCGCCCCAACTTGGCGAGCTCGAATCTTCTGCATTCTCCCAATCATCGACGCAAACAAACCATCGCACACACCTCACCACCGCTCATCACCGACAGACCGAGGACAGGCGCGGTGCAGGACTGCTTGATACACTCATTCGCCTCGCTCCAAAACCATCTTCCTGGACGAATTGCCAGCCACAAGGGAGACTCCAGTGCGTTGCTCGCCTGACCTGAAGCCGCTTTTGTCATCACCGTCACCATCGTCACATCATCCCTCGCTGAAGCCACACAGGCACCTCCCTCGGGTCTTCACAGCTCTATAGAGTACCACCTACGGTCGCCGTCATGCCCGGCAAGACTCCTCACAACAGCGGCCGGAAGCCCGCCGAGAATGGCGTAAGAAATAACAAGGACGCCGACAAGGCAAAGGGCAAGAAGCCTACCGCCAAGGATGGTGACGAGGAGATGACCGTCGTCGTTCCTCCCTCCAAGTCGACGAAGCAACAACAGTCTGGGGACGCTGATGGAGATGTTGATATGGCCGGCGACGACAAGGCTGAGGACAAGGTCGACCCCGCTGTCCAGGCCGTCGCAGGTAAGCTGCCCGTGAACCCTGATGATCAGAGATGGTATCTTTTCACCGCAATTTGAGCACCACTACTCACACTCCTCTTCCGGCAGATATCAAGAGCAACTTCGCGTTGCTGGATCGAGCTGTCATCCTGTTTGATGCCCGATTCTCCCTTCGCGCCTTGCGATCAGTCTCCCTTATCCGCAAGCGCCTGACGCCCGATATCATCGCCCAAGCGATCGTCGAGACATTCCCAGCAACTCCTGCATCCGAAAATATCGTCAAGAACCTACTTGCCGTTATCGGCCGCGAAAATGTCACCCTTGGAAGCAAGTCTGGCTCGGAGATGGAGGTTGACAGCGAGACGAGCAAGCCCGCTAAGAATGGCCCGAAGAAAGAGATCAAGGAGATCATTCCCGAAATTGACATCTTCCTCGGAATTCTAATCCAAGTTCATCTGTTTGACACAAAACAGTATCAGGAGGGAGCAGACTTCTCCCAGTACCTCTCTGAGCGTATCCAGACTCTCAACCGCCGCACATTAGATTCTCTCTCCGCCAAGGTGTATTTCTACTTCTCTCTATTCTGCGAGCACATGGCTCCTCTGCCTCCTTCTCCGGAGTCACCGGTGGTGGCTATTCGACCTACACTCCTCGCAGCTCTTCGAACCGCAGTCCTCCGCAAGGATATCGACACACAGGCATCGGTGATTGTGCTACTCCTACGCAACTACCTCCTGACCTCGCACATTAGCCAAGCTGATCTACTTGTTTCGCACACCCAATTCCCCGAAAATGCAGTCAATAACCAGGTAGCACGTTTCCTGTACTACCTCGGACGGATCCGAGCCATCCAGCTACGCTACACCGAGGCACATGAACATCTCACAGCTGCCACACGCAAGGCACCATCCAGCAACTGCGCCTTGGGTTTTTCGCAAACGGCCACCAAGCTTCTGCTTGTTGTCGAGCTTCTGATGGGTGATATCCCCGACCGCTCAACATTCCGCCAAGCCACCATGGAGGAGGCTCTTCACCCGTACTTCTTGCTCGTCCAAGCCGTGCGAGTTGGTGATCTGGAAACCTTTGAGACAACGATTGCTGATCATGCGGATACCTTCCGAAAGGATGGCACTTACACGCTGATTCTGCGCCTCCGACAGAATGTCATCAAGACTGGCATTCGCATGATGTCTCTATCCTACTCACGGATTTCCCTCCGAGATATCTGCATCCGGCTGCATCTAGGCAGCGAGGAGTCGGCAGAGTACATTGTTGCCAAGGCCATTAGAGACGGTGTCATCGAAGCTACTCTAGACCGCGAGAGGGGATTTATGAAGAGCAAAGAAGTGGGAGACGTTTATGCTACGCGTGAGCCGGGCGAGGCCTTCCATGATCGTATCCGAGCCTGTCTGGCACTGCATGACGAAAGTGTAAAGGTATGTTGCACTCGATGACCAGAGTTTAATCAGATACAGTTAAGCTTACCCTTTTACAACTAGGCCATGCGATTCCCTATGAACCAACACCGTCTTGAACTCAAGAACGCCCAAGAAGCCCGCGAACGCGAGAGGGAGATGGCCAAGGAGATTCAAGAGGGCGATTTAGACGAAGATGACTTGGGTGGGGACTTTGACGGGATGTAACTTGGGTACATACATTCATGTCACGTGTGATACTGTGATCAAAACATACGGATATTGTCACTTTAGGGAGAGTCGCGTTTATTGATTGCGTTTGTGGCGGTCCCGAGGATAGTGGCGCAAAGCTCCTGTTGAAGCTTGTGACCGTCGCGGTTCACCCTACTTGTTCACAATGCGGAGGACGAGGGCAGGCAATGGGTGGATAGATGGGTATGGCATCCATAGAGAACTGCGTTGCGTGAGCTGTAGAAACGCAGTGATAATATGACGGCGCTTGCGAGCTCAGCTGTGCACAAGATGAGCGTGTATTACGAGAAATATGTGAATCACTAGGGACAACCGGACTATCCTTGCGGTGTGAGTGCAACAAGAGCATTGACCGTGGTCGCTTTATTCGGCTTGAAGGAGTAGAATGACCCAGAAGAGTCGAAGGTTCTTGGAGTACGCCCTGCGCCCAAGCTTTGATTCCTCTTTTGACATGGCATCACATTGTCGGGCACACGCCAACACGACGCCGCGCAAAAAGGCAATTGTGAGGCAGAGAGACGGCTGCTCATTGGCTGCGGATTGACACAGCCTTACGGCCAACATGAAGTGCGCGCCCTGTGTCTGACATGGCGCATGAGATGACCCCGGCTCATGTCCAGATCGATCCACACCGGCCTCACTCCACAATGGACGATGACTCTGATTCAAGCAACACGACCAACAACATTAGGCAGACTTATAAAATTATTTTTTGACTTAATGGTTTTATGAATTTATGACTCTTAGCCTCGACATGGAAAGGCAAGGCAGTGTGTATATAAGATGGGCTGGTCTCCCTTTGAGAATGTCCCTGCTCAACATCATCACACACTCCCACCGACCGAATTGACTAGAGCTGGTCAAGACTCGGCAGGTCAAATTCTACGACTGTTCAAAGACCAATCAATCAATCAACCAATTCACCATGGCTACTGCTACCCAAATTCAGTTGTCACCCTCTCCGCCACTGACTACCAATTCTGGATTGGAGGACGAGGTAAACATGGAGGACATGGTCCATCTGGCTGGCCTTTGCCGCGCCTCTCTCAACGCCCTCAACCTTCACCTGCCTGATTTAAACCTGAATATTCCTTACACTGCCGACGAGATCATCCAACTACCCTTGGGCAAGCATCGTGTCCCAGATGCCCTCTACAGCCTGCCTCGGCGCAAGTCAGCCCGGCATGCCGAGGCCGAGGCCCTCTGCCGCCTCCTCGACCCAGCACACGACGGCTCCCTAAGTGCACTTATCCGATATGACGCAGACCGTGTCCGTCTCCGTGCGTGGGCAGCTCTGCAGCGCAAATATGATCGCCTTGTAGCAACCAGACTGCACGGACGCACAACCATGGGCCTGTCTGGCGGTGTCGGGCCCGGTATACCTCAGCCGGCCTGGTCCAGCCGGATCACTGGCCAGGGCGCTTGGGACCCGGTCAAGAAACCCATCTCCCTCGACGGGTGCCCTGCGATCCCCATGCCGGTCCAGGTTGCACATGAGGACGAGCTGGCACCGTTCTTTGAGCACTTGCAGAGCGGAGGTACCGACGACTTGGACGGAATCGAGGACGGCGTCGAGCTTGACGACGGCCGGGGTGAGCCGCACTATGGTGTCCATGGTGCCGAGTTCCGCAAAGGTGTTGTGTATGAGGATGGGCGTATGGATCTCTGCAAAATGGTGGTTGGGCCCGACCACATCTGGAAGCTCATGGAGAGCCTGCGATCCAACAAGTTTGTCCGGCACTTCCTCCTGGGCAATAACATCATCGGCCCCTCTGGCGCCGCGGCCATAGCCAAGTTCATCCATGAGCTCCCGGGGCAGATCGAGACTTGGTACATTGCCGGAAATTGCATCAACGGGGCCAGCTTCACTCCGCTCGTCGACGCCCTGGTCACATCGCCCGCAGTGCGTCA